CTTCTGTCTGGAATCGAAGGCGGCACGGGACTCAGGGTCACCTGCAGCTCCTCACCAGCGCCCCCACAGCCAGACTGGGCCTGGCAAGCACTCAGGAGTCCCAGGACCTTGCTTCTACACCAGGGGCCGAGGGAAGTGTCACCAGCTCCACAGACCTAAACCGGGCAGTGAGCTGGGCCTGGCCCCTGGCCACAGCCTCTCCTCAAGGGCTGGACACTGCACCACTGGGGGCTCCTGCAGGTGCCTCAGCGCCGACCCACATGGCTCCGCCCTCCGAGCAGCAGCAGGGGCACCTGTGACGCGGGTGCTACCTGTAGTGGAGGAGCTGGCCATCTGTGCCGTAATCCCGGCAAGCTTCATAGTCCTTCTCGAGGAATACGCCTGGTGAAGAGCTGAAACAACACAATGAAAAAGAGACACAGATGCAGCAGCAGGAATTCAAAATAACCAGCCCTTCCCTGATACCCCAGAAGGCAGGGCTGGGGCGGCGCCGTGGAGGGGCAGGTTAGGCCGTCACTGGCAACGCTGGGATCCCCTTGGCTCTGGTACAGCTCCCGGATAATGTACTGTGAAGGCAGTGGGTGATGGCCCAGGGACTTAGGTTCTTGCCACCCAGTTGGGAGACCCTGATGGAGTTCCTGGGTGCGGCCTGGCCCAGCCCTGGCTACCGCAGCCATCTGGGGAGTGTACCAGCAGATGGGAGTTCTCTAGTCTCTTCCCCTTTCAGATAAATAAATCTTACAGAGGGGGCACAGGGTTGCCGTTCAGTTTTCCCAGGAGCAACAGGGGTCCTCACACCTGCCCACGAGCTGTTCCTGCTGTCGGTTCAAACAGGAGCGCCGCTGCAGCCCCAGGCCCAGGCCTTCCAGCAGGCACAGTGTCGAGGGCACAGCCACGGGGCTGTGAGCGTCACAGTTCCCCAGACGGCGGCGTGGGCTACTCGGGGAGGGTGGCTTGGCGCACAGTATGTGTGGAGGGAAAGCTGGCGGGCGGGCAATCACCCTGACAGACATTCAAAAGGCAGGTGAGCCAGCTGCCACCTGCTCACCGCGAGGAACTCGACGTGACCCGGGCAAGGGCTTCCCGCACTGAGCAGCGCAGGCATGGCCAGCAGGTCGGGGCCAGGCACCTGCTCACACCTCCAGGGGACGAGATCGGGGGGTGCTCGCCAGCACAGCACAAGGAAACGGAGAGAGAGGTGGACTTGAAAGACAGAGATGGAACTGTTGCTAGTTGTCAGCCTGGAAAACCGAGAAGCAAGCGGCTCGACAGCTGCTATTCGAGCTGAGACGAGCGGCCACGCCTCACGCCCTGGCTTCTGTCCTTCCAGCAGCAGCCAGAGACCACGCTCACCTCCACAGCAGCAGGACGCCAAGCCACGTGCGTGTGCGTGCACGACCAGCGCAGAGGCATGCGGGGCCCGAGCACAGGCCCGAGTCGCCCAGCAGACTCCAGCAGGAGTGTGTCTGAACAGAGTCCCGCACGTGCTCCGCACCGAGCACGCTGCGCCAGCTGAGACTGGACAGAAGAGGACAGGGGCCGGCGCTGTGGTGCAGCAGGTGAAGTCTCCGCTGCAGCTCCGGCCACTGCAGCCAGCTGGGGAGTGAAGCAGCGGGTGGAAGACCTCTCCCCTCCCTGCCTCTCCCTCTCTGTCTATAACTCTACCTCTCAAATAAAGAAATAATTTTTTTTTAAAGAACAGTTCAATACAAGCTCAAGAAATAACTACTTTAAAAACACGAAGGGGCCTCTGAGAGGGACCAGGTCGGCCTAGAGTGACACGAGTCAGCACTTCGGGGCGCAGAAGGCTGGAGCGAGAGCTGCCGTGTGCAGCGGCTCTGTCCCCACCGGCACTCAGGCCAGCTCACATGGCTCCGCCTGCTGGTTGGTCAGCGTGGGGGATGGCCGCAGGGAGTCCCCTCTTTTCTGTCACCAGGGCCCTCATGAGAAGCCGAGCACAGGCTGGTTCCAGGCTCCAGGACTCTCAGAACCAGGAGGCGTAAATCTCTTTTCCTTGACATGACCCAGCCTCAGGCATTCTGTTACAGCCACACAGGCAGGCTGAGAATTGCGGAAAACACAAACCTGTCAGAATATTGTAGCAGAACACACTTAAAAAAAAGACATGCCTTTCAAATACAATGCCTCAGAATTACAGAGAGGCAGAGGCAGAGGCAGAGGCAGAGAGAGGGAAAAAGAGAGAAGAGGGAGAGAGAGTATCTTCCACCTGCTGCTTCACTCCCCAGGTGGCCACAATGGCTGGGGCTGGGCCAGGCTGAAGCAGGAGCCGGGAGCTTCTTCCACGTGTCTCCCATGTGGGTGCAGGGGCCCAAGGACTTGAGCCCTCTTCCACTGATTTTCCCAAGTGCATTAGCAGGGAGCTGGATCAGCAGTGGAGCCCGCATGGGTTGCTGGCACTGCAGGCCGAGGTTTTAGCTACCACATCACAGTGGGGACCCCCAGGCTCCACTCTTGATTCCAGCTCCCTGCTAATGTGCACCCAGAAGGGCTGCAGTGACGGCTCACGTGTCTGGGTACTGGCCAATGACAGGGGAGACCCCAACAGAGTTCTGGGCTCCTGGCTTGGGCCTGGCCCACCCAGGCTGCTGTGGGTATTTAGGGAGTGAACTAGCAGAGGGAGGATCTCTCTCCACTTGTCTCTTTGCCTTTCAAATAAATTTAAAAAAAAAAAATCATACCACCGATGTTAAAAAAAAAAAACAGCTTTCCAATAAAGTGTTTTTTTTTTTTTTTTAAACCACTAATTTATTTGAAAGCCACTATGGAAGAGTTTGGAGATTCCTCAGAAACCTGAATATAGTCTTACCACACAACCCAGCCATCCCACTCCTGGGAATTTACCCAAAGGAAATTAAATTGGCAAATAAAAGAGCTATTTGCACCTCAATGTTTATTGCAGCTCAATTCACAATAGCTAAGACCTGGAACCAACCTAAATGCCCATCAACAGAAGACTGGATAAAGAAATTATGGAACATGTACTCTATAGAATACTATACAGCAGTAAAAAAAAAAATGAAATCTGGTCAGTTGCAACAAAATGGAGGAATCTGGAGAACATCCTGCTGAGTGAGATAAGCCCGTCCCAAAGGGACAAATATCCTATGTGCTCCCTGATCTGTGACCACTGAGCACCTGAGAGGAAACCTGCAGAAGTGAAACTGATACTATGAGAAACAGCGACTTGATAGCCCTTGTCCTGACTGTCGAGGAACAACTTACTACTTTATTCCTTTTAGTATTTTTTTTTAGTTCTACTTAATACCATTGGTTGAACTCTTTAATTAACACACAGTTATTCTTAGGTGTTAAAATAACTGAAACATGATCCCTGTTAAATATAGAGTGGGAATAAGAGAAGGAGGAGATGTACCGTTCGGCACATGCTCACTCTGACTTACCCCTAATGGTAGAGCTGGGAACGTGCCAGGGGATTCCAAATCAATCCCATCAAGGTGGCATGTACCAATGCCCTCTTACTAGTCAAAGTGATCCGTTTCAGTTCAGAATTGATCATAATGATAGGATTAAGTGTCAAAGGGATCACATAAACAGGACTAGTGTCTGCTAATAATAACTGATAGAATTAAAAAGGAGAGCATGATCCAACATGGGAAGTGGGATACACAGCAGACTCAGAATGGCAGATGCCCTAAACAGCACTCTGGCCTCAGAATCAGCCCTTAAGGCATTTGGATCTGGCTTAAAAAGCCCATGAGAGTTTCTCGGTCATGGAAAGCCAAGACACTGCGGCAAAAAATGACCTTAATGAAAGATCTCTGTGAATGAGATCCCGGTGAAAAGAAGGGGCCTTCAAAGAAGGAGGTACCATTCTCTGAAGGGAGGAGAGAACTTCCACTGTGATTATGGCCTTGTCTAAATAAGGTCAGAGTTTGTGAGCTCAAGAGCCTTCCATAGCCTTGGTAGCTCATGACAAGAGCCTCGGGTGATTACTGACATCATAAATAAGAGTGTCAATTGTTAAATCAACAACAGGAGTCACTGTGCACTTACTCCCCATGTAGCAGCTCTGTCCTTAATGTGTTGTACTAAGAGAATTAACGGTAAAACTAGTGCTCAAACAGTACTTTATACTTCGTGTATCTGTGTGGATGCAAACTGATGGAATCTTTACTTAGTATAAACCAAGTTGATCTTTTGCATAAAAGATAATTACAAATGAATCTTAATGAAGAATGGGATGGGAGAGGGAGTAGGAGATGGGATAGTTTGTGGGTGGGAGGGTGGTTATGAGGGGAAAAGCCGCTATTATCCAAAAGTTGTACTTTCAAAATTTATGTTTATTAAATGAAAGTTTTCTAAAAAAAGATTTATTTATTTTATTTGAAATGCAGAGTTACAGAGAGAAAAGGAGAGACAGAGAGAGGTCTTCCATCCTCTGGTTCACTTGCTAAATGGCAATGGCTGGAGCTGAGCCAATCCAAAGCCAGGAGCTTCTTCCAGGTCTCCCAAGCGGGTGCAGGGGCCCAAGCACTTGGGCCATCTTCTACTGCCCTCCCAGGCCACAGCAGAGAGCTGGATGGGAAGTGGAGCAGCCGGGACTCAAACCAGCACCCATGTGGGATGCCAGCACTGCAGGCAGTGGCTTTACCAGCTACACCAAAGCGCTGGCCCCCAGTGTTTGTTTGTTTGTTTGTTTTTAATTTATTTTGAAAGACAGTTACCGAGAGAGGTAGAGCCAGAGAAAGATCTTCCATTCCACTGGTTCTGTGTGTGTGTGTGCCTGTGTGTGTGTGCGGATGTGTGTCTGCGTCTATGTGTCTCTCCCTGTGTCTGTCTCTGTATGTCTGTGTGTGTGGATGTGTGTGTCTGTCCCTGCTTTGTGCATCTCTGTGTTAGAATGTTTTAAATAAATATATCTTAAGATTTATTTATTAATGCGAAAGAGTCACAAAGAGAAAGAGGCCAGTCTTCCATTTACTGGTTCACTCCCATGATGGCTACCACTGCAGGGCTGGGCCACGCAGAATCAGGAGTCAGGAGCTTCACCCAGGTCTCCCACGAGGGGCCCAAGCAGAATCAGGAGTTAGGAGCTTCACCCAGGTCTCCCACGAGGGGGCCACGCAGAATCAGGAGTCAGGAGCTTCACCCAGGTCTCCCACGAGGGGGCCAAGCAGAATCAGGAGTCAGGAGCTTCACCCAGGTCTCCCACGAGGGCGCAGGGGCCCAAGCAGAATCAGGAGTCAGGAGCTTCACCCAGGTCTCCCACGAGGGCGCAGGGGCCCACGCAGAATCAGGAGTTAGGAGCTTCACCCAGGTCTCCCACGAGGGGCCCAAGCAGAATCAGGAGTCAGGAGCTTCACCCAGGTCTCCCACGAGGGCGCAGGGGCCCACGCAGAATCAGGAATTAGGAGCTTCACCCAGGTCTCCCACGAGGGGGCCAAGCAGAATCAGGAGTCAGGAGCTTCACCCAGGTCTCCCACGAGGGGGCCAGGCAGAATCAGGAGTCAGGAGCTTCACCCAGGTCTCCCACGAGGGGCCCAAGCAGAATCAGGAGTCAGGAGCTTCACCCAGGTCTCCCACGAGGGCGCAGGGGCCAAGCAGAATCAGGAGTTAGGCGCTTCACCCAGGTCTCCCACGAGGGCGCAGGGGCCCAAGCAGAATCAGGAGTCAGGAGCTTCACCCAGGTCTCCCACGAGGGCGCAGGGGCCCACGCAGAATCAGGAGTTAGGAGCTTCACCCAGGTCTCCCACGAGGGGCCACGCAGAATCAGGAGTTAGGAGCTTCACCCAGGTCTCCCACGAGGGCGCAGGGGCCCACGCAGAATCAGGAGTTAGGAGCTTCACCCAGGTCTCCCACGAGGGGGCCAAGCAGAATCAGGAGTTAGGCGCTTCACCCAGGTCTCCCACGAGGGGCCCAAGCAGAATCAGGAGTCAGGAGCTTCACCCAGGTCTCCCACGAGGGCGCAGGGGCCAAGCAGAATCAGGAGTTAGGCGCTTCACCCAGGTCTCCCACGAGGGCGCAGGGGCCCAAGCAGAATCAGGAGTCAGGAGCTTCACCCAGGTCTCCCACGAGGGCGCAGGGGCCCACGCAGAATCAGGAGTTAGGAGCTTCACCCAGGTCTCCCACGAGGGGCCACGCAGAATCAGGAGTCAGGAGCTTCACCCAGGTCTCCCACGAGGGCGCAGGGGCCCACGCAGAATCAGGAGTTAGGAGCTTCACCCAGGTCTCCCACGAGGGGGCCAAGCAGAATCAGGAGTTAGGCGCTTCACCCAGGTCTCCCACGAGGGGGCCAAGCAGAATCAGGAGTCAGGAGCTTCACCCAGGTCTCCCACGAGGGCGCAGGGGCCCAAGCAGAATCAGGAGTTAGGAGCTTCACCCAGGTCTCCCACGAGGGGGCAGGGGCCAAGCAGAATCAGGAGTTAGGCGCTTCACCCAGGTCTCCCACGAGGGGGCCAAGCAGAATCAGGAGTTAGGAGCTTCACCCAGGTCTCCCACGAGGGCGCAGGGGCCCACGCAGAATCAGGAGTTAGGAGCTTCACCCAGGTCTCCCACGAGGGGGCCAAGCAGAATCAGGAGTTAGGCGCTTCACCCAGGTCTCCCACGAGGGGGCCAAGCAGAATCAGGAGTCAGGAGCTTCACCCAGGTCTCCCACGAGGGCGCAGGGGCCCAAGCAGAATCAGGAGTTAGGAGCTTCACCCAGGTCTCCCACGAGGGGGCAGGGGCCAAGCAGAATCAGGAGTTAGGAGCTTCACCCAGGTCTCCCACGAGGGGGCCAAGCAGAATCAGGAGTTAGGAGCTTCACCCAGGTCTCCCACGAGGGCGCAGGGGCCCAAGAAGAATCAGGAGTTAGGAGCTTCACCCAGGTCTCCCACGAGGGGCCCAAGCAGAATCAGGAGTTAGGAGCTTCACCCAGGTCTCCCACGAGGGGGCCAAGCAGAATCAGGAGTCAGGAGCTTCACCCAGGTCTCCCACGAGGGCGCAGGGGCCCAAGCAGAATCAGGAGTTAGGAGCTTCACCCAGGTCTCCCACGAGGGGGCAGGGGCCAAGCAGAATCAGGAGTTAGGCGCTTCACCCAGGTCTCCCACGAGGGGGCCAAGCAGAATCAGGAGTTAGGAGCTTCACCCAGGTCTCCCACGAGGGCGCAGGGGCCCAAGAAGAATCAGGAGTTAGGAGCCTCACCCAGGTCTCCCACGAGGGGCCCAAGCAGAATCAGGAGTTAGGAGCTTCACCCAGGTCTCCCACGAGGGGGCCAAGCAGAATCAGGAGTTAGGCGCTTCACCCCGGTCTCCCACGAGGGCGCAGGGGCCCAAGCAGAATCAAGGAGTTAGGCGCTTCACCCAGGTCTCCCACGAGGGCGCAGGGGCCCACGCACCTGGGGCATCTTTTGCTGCTCTCAGGCTGTAAGGTCACTGGGTCGGAAGTGGGTTCAGCCAGGACATGGACCAGCGCCCACAAGGATGCTGGCACCACAGGCAGCGGTTCTACCTGCTTTGCCACAGCGCTGGCCTCGATACATTAAATTTTAAAGCCTGTGGTCACTGTGTCTTTCATTGCAGTGACTCTGCCCTGAGTTATGAAAACAGCCAAGTTCAAAGGCTCGGGGCTCGGTCACAGTGAGAAGCCAAGCAGCCTGGTTGTCCTCGCTCACCGCTCAGCCTGCACAGTTTCTCGTGGGCTGTTCTGAAGCCGGGAGAAGACTGGAATTTTCTGAGTGAGAAAACCTCCAAGCACTGCATGGCTTCGGAAACGACTGTTCTTGCACACTTGATGTTTCTTAGTGAACTGAACCTGAAGTTACAAGGCAGGCAGTGTCTTATACACAGAACTCACACGCAGTGGAGAGATGGCTGTGACAAGTGGCGTCTGACCACACGCGTGTCGGCACTCACACGCAGTGGAGAGATGGCTGTGACAAGTGGCATCTGACCACACGCGTGTCGGCACTCACACGCAGTGGAGAGATGGCTGTGACAAGCGGCGTCTGACCACACGCGTGTCAGAACTCACACGCAGTGGAGATGGTTGTGACAAGTGGCGTCTGACCACACGCGTGTCAGAACTCACACGCAGTGGAGAGATGGCTGTGACAAGTGGTGTCTGACCACACGCGTGTCGGCAATCACACGCAGTGGAGATGGCTGTGACAAGTGGCGTCTGACCACACGCGTGTTGGCACTCACACGCAGTGGAGATGGCTGTGACAAGTGGCGTCTGACCACACGCGTGTCGGCACTCACACGCAGTGGAGATGGCTGTGACAAGTGGCGTCTGACCACACGCGTGTCGGCACTCACACGCAGTGGAGATGGCTGTGACAAGTGGCGTCTGACCACACACGTGTCGGCACTCACACGCAGTGGAGATGGCTGTGACAAGTGGCGTCTGACCACACGCGTGTCAGAACTCACACGCAGTGGAGAGATGGCTGTGACAAGTGGCGTCTGACCACACGCGTGTCAGAACTCACACGCAGTGGAGATGGCTGTGACAAGTGGCGTCTGACCACACGCGTGTCGGCACTCACACGCAGTGGAGATGGCTGTGACAAGTGGCGTCTGACCACACGCGTGTCGGCACTCACACGCAGTGGACCCATAAGGTGAGAGGTCCCTGCTCCCACTCCCAGCTGCAGGCATGCTTTCCAGAATTTCCCACTCTGATGTGAGTGTAAGTGTGAAGGAGACCCGTCCCTGAGTCTGTTCAGCAGTGAGGGGCTACCAGCTGCCAAGCTGCGGTGGCGAGGGGTTAACCTGGGGATGGACATGGGGCACAGCAGGGGAGACACCACCTGGGACGCCCACATCCCCTGTCAGAGCGCTGGTTCAAGTCCCAGCTCCACTTCCAACTCCAGCTCCCTGCTAATGCACCCTGGGCGGCAGCCGGGATGGCTAAGGACTTGGGCCCCTGCACCCACATGGGAGACCCGGGTGGAGCTCCTGGCTCCTGGCTTCCGCCTGGCCCAGCCCCAGATGCTGGGGGCATTTGGGAAGCGGCTCAGTAAGCACAGATCTCTCTTTGTCCCCGCTTCTCAAGGAAAATTTAAAAGCACTGAGAATAGAACTTTTTTTTTTTAAAGATTTATTTATTTACTTCAGAAGCAGAGTTAACAGAGGGATCCTCCATCCGCTGGGTCACCCCCAAACGCCGGCAACAGCCATCACTGGGCCAGGCTGAAGCCAGGAGCCAGGCGCTCCATCCAGGTAGGGCCCTGGACTCGGGCCACCTTCCGCTGCCTTACCAGGTGCGTTAGTGTTGCTGCGGATTCGTTCTGAGAGGAGGGGTGTGGTGGGGGCCGGAGGCGCGGAGTCACCACACAGACCCTGCACATTAGCAGGAAGCTGGACTGGAAGTGGAACGGCCAGGACTTGAAGCAGTCCTGCAATCTGAGGGGTCGGCACTGCAAGTCGTGGCTTCGCCTGTGGCACCACAATGCCCGCCCACGTCGTGAGTGACGCCGGACACCTTGCAGCTGGTCTGATGGCAGGGGCACCCTCTGCAGGAGCAGGTTCCCCTCAAATCCAGCGCCACTTATTCCTGCGGGATGAGGCATGCAGCAAAAACTCAGGCAACCGAACCTCACCAGAGCTGACACAGGGTGGGATGAGTGACGAAGGCTGCACTCCACGCTTGAGAGCTGGGAAGGCTAACATGCAAAGGAGACACAGGAAAGAGCAGGTTCCAGATCAAGGTCTAGAGACAAATACTGGAAACATCTGGGGACTGGTGCTCCACTTCTGACCCAGCTCCCTGCTGTGGCCTGGGAAAGCAGTGGAGGATGGCCCAAGTGCGTGGGTCCCGGCACCTGCGTGGGAGACCTGGAAGAAACTCCTGGCTCCTGGCTTCAGATCGGCTCAGCTCTGGCTGTGGCAGCCATCTGGGGAGGGAACTAGCAGATAGAAGATCTCTCTCTCTCTGTATCTCCCTCCCCCAACCCTCTCTCTGCCTTTCAAATAAGTAAATAAATCTTACAAAAAACACATGGTCAGGAGCTCCTGAAGAACAGAGGCTGTGGAGGAGACCTCAGCAGGTTGACCGTCCAACAAGAACCAGAGCTGCAGCCCGGAGGCCGGCGTCCAAGAGGGGCACGGCTGTGGGCCGGGGGTGCGGGAGGGGCCGAGAGTAAAACACCTGCAGGGGAAGGGACTCAGCATCCCCTAAGCTGGGGGAGGCCTGCGCACAACAAGGGGGGGCTGCCCCCCAGCCTGGCCGCTACCTCCCCGCAGCCTGTTGGCTTGGTTCACCTGAGGGAGCAGCAGAAAGATACATTGTCTGAGGAACACAGCAATCCTGGGGAGCCGGAGGTGAGGGCACTGCCAGGGTGTGTGTGTGTGTGTGTGTGTGTGTGTGTGAAGTCTTACTACTATTTACATCTCTTTCAAACGTAACTGACTGCTTAAAGCAGCAGTGAGTCTGAGCTGAGACACTCCTGACACCAGCGACAGCTGTCTGGGAGGAGAGAGGGGAACTGAGTGGCGGGAGGGGTGCAGGGTTGCTGGGAGGACACCACTCATCCACACCGCAGCCCCCAGACGAGTTACGGTCAGGCCCGGAATCCAACAGGGAGAGACCGGTTGGAGTACAAAGATGTGGACGTCGCCCAGAAGCAGACTGAAAGAGGGAACCAGGAACGATGAACAGATAGGACAAACAAAAACAGCAAAATGGCAGATCTGAACCCAGCCGCACGTAACTGCGTTCCACGGTACCGGCCTAAGCCCCCCAGTACAAGGGCAGGGCCTTGGTGTGGGCACTTTGCCTGGTGGCTGAGGTGTCGTCGGGGTCTGACCCTCAGCTGCTCGCGTGCAGGCTGGGCGGCAGTGGAGTCCCGGCCATCGCAGGCCTCTGGGGAGTCCACCAGCAGACGGGAGGCCTCTGCTCTCTGTAGGAAAAACCAGGATACGGACACACACAGAGGTGGGGAGACTGAGCGCGGGCGCCATGCTGACCTGGACTCCGGAGAAGAGAGCTACAGACAGCTGCTCCGAGCTGCCCACACCTGTGGCTTCCCACGGGGCAGGGCCAGGGAGGGAAAGCCAGCACCCCTCACAGTCCCTGAACTCACTGCCCTTTCATCTCGGGGAACAAGGCCAGAAACAAAACTAAGCCTCAGGCGGGCGTTTGGTGCGGTGGCTGAGGCCACATTCGGGCCTGGGACCGGTCTCGGCTCTGCTCCTGACTCAGGCTCCTGGGTCCCTGCTACCCACGGTCCTCTGGCCTGGCCTGGCCCAGTGCTGGCCATTGTGGCCACTGGGGAGTGAACCAGCAGATGGAAGACCTCTCGCTCGCTCGCTCTCTCTTTCTGTGTAACTCTGACTTTCAAAACAAATAAATACATCTTTTAAAAAAAATCCCCTACAGATCTGACAGAGAGGGGAGCAGTGGAGGGGAGGCCTCAGAGCAGAGACGCCGAGACAGCGTTCCCCAGTGTATCTGCAAATTCATGTAAAACAGACCACAGAGAGCTTTTATAACATTTGATTCAGGACACAGACAACCTGAATGCTGTTGTGGTAAGCATTAAAGAAACCACGTCAGGACCTAAGATCTGCCCGGCAGCCCAGGGCCAGGCGAGACCTCAGAGGCCAATACAGCGGAGAGGGCGCCGCTCAGCCGACAGCAAAAACGCCCTGGGCGAGACTGGCAGCTTGAATCTATTTATTTATTTATTTTTTTGACAGGCAGAGTGGACAGTGAGAGAGACAGAGAGAAAGGTCTTCCTTTGCTGTTGGTTCACCCTCCAATGACTGCCGCGGCCGGCGCACCGCGCTGATCCGAAGCCAGGTGCTTCTCCTGGTCTCCCATGGGGTGCAGGGCCCAAGCACTTGGGCCATCCTCCACTGCACTCCCTGGCCACAGCAGAGAGCTGGCCTGGAAGAGAGGTAACCGGGACAGAATCTGGTGCCCCGACCGGGACTAGAATCCCGTGTGCCGGCGCCGCAAGGCGGAAGATTAGCCTAGTGAGCCGCGGCGCCGGCCAGCTTGAATCTATTTTAAAACACAAACTGCGGAGTAAGCCTCCCCAGGGCTGCCACGCAGAGCACCTGGCTGGACTTCCTCCCTCACAGCCTGGGGGTGGGGTCCAGCGAGCCGTCCCTCTGGGCTGATTCCTCAGGACCCCTGTGGCGTGTGACGTCCCCTCGACCAGGTCCTCCAGCACAGACCCTGTGTCCAGGGGACGCGCGTCCATGGGGGCTGGGGGCTCAGCTTCGGCCCTGTTCTGAGGGACCCGATGCAGCCCGCAACATGGTATCCGCACAGTTCATGAGGCAGGCTTGGTAAAACCTTGCTACCCTGAGGCGGTGCCTGTGGGGGAGATGGCAGGGCCAGGCTCAGCGCCAGGAGAAGCCCGAGCTGCTGGTCCTCCCGCTCACTCAGCCTCGTCCGTCAAGTGCTCCCGGTGTCACAGGCAACTGTGGAGGGACCTTCAGGGCCAAGATGGCGCAGCCCAAGTGTGAGAGCAAGACCAACGTGAGAACCCA